TGATATCAGCTAAGGATGATGTGAAAGCATTCAACGAGGAGAAATTCTCTGGGGAGGATTGGGCATCATGGAGCTTCAGGATGGAGCTTCTCTTCAACCATTATGGGCTGCTTGAAGTGATGGATGGAGAATTGAAGAGGCCTGCGAGCGAAGGAGCGACCAAGGAATGGGATCGCCGGTCCAAGGATGGATTCTTCCTTCTCTCCCAATGCCTCTCATCCAACCAGCTGCACCACATCAAGCATCTCATCAAGAAAGTTCAATGTGGTCCTAAGGCATGGAAGATATTGAAGGATGTCCATGCCCCCAGCAGCGAAGCGATGGTGGTGGTGCTCGAGCGACAACTCCATGCGGTGAAGATCAACGAGGGTGATGATGTACAAGGAGCGTTCGATCAACTCCGGGACCTCTATGTGAAGCTCTCTGCTGCTGGTGTGGACTACCCTGAGAAGATCAAGTGCTACAAGGCTCTCTCCCTGCTGCCGGAGTCGTGGGGGCCCTTGGTGGTCAACCTCAATGGCATGAAGGACGCGTGGTCCCTTGAGTGGATCCGCGCACAAGTTCTTCAAGAGGAGTTTCCGAGGAAGGAGCTGACCGCCGCTACCAGTGAAGGTGGAGGCTCTGCCTATGGCATGAAGGGCTTAGCATTCGGGAGGGAAGCGTGGCAACAAGGGAGGCAAGCGGTGTAGCGGCAAGTGTAGATATTGCCATGTGGAAGGTCACCCATGGTTCAAGTGCCGCAAGCTACCTGACGGTTGGAGGCCTGGTCAGCCATCACTTGAGGGCTCCAAGGGTGTTCATGGAGCTATGGGAGAAGGCATGGGCAGTGAGGAGGGCGATGGAGGTGCTGGCGGATACGGCAGCATGTTCTACCATATAGGAGAGGACATGGATGTGGTGGGCCCTACGAAGGCCCCTTCTCTCTCAAGCAGCCGCTACTTCTTGACCATTGTGGACGACCACACGCGTGCAGTGTGGGTGTACCCTCTCAAGACTAAGGGGTAGGTGGCAGATCGCCCTGCCGGATCCGTTTTGGGTGACTGCACTGCAGCAGATTGCCCTTGTGAAGAACCGGGTGCTGGCGACTGTGGGGGACAAGCAGTGGGTCCCCTACACCAAGTGGTATGGGAGTGCACCAGCAGTCAACATGCTGAGAGCCTACGGCTGCATGGTGGTGTTTCATGTGCCTAAAGAGAAGAGAGGAAAGCTTGAGGCTTCTGGGAGATGGGGTGTGTTGTTCAGGATCCGTCACTTCGAGAACTTACGACGAACTCATTACTCAACTAAACGCAAATCCGCTCAGTAGGATGTTGCGCCTTAGGCTTAGCTACCATCTCCAATTTGAATCACTTAAACAGATGGTCTAGAGATTGAGAACCATGTGAAAACGTCAAGCTGCTGCGTCAAGAGTGGTGGAGGAAGTACAAGCATTAAGGCATAGAAAGGTTGGAGTTGGGGACTCCAAGAGAACCATGAGAGGGAAGGGGTTCTCCAAGAGCTAGGGAAGGATGGTAGGTTCCTTCCTAGCAACAAGGATGCAACCCTTATCACATGCAAAATCCAATCTAGTTGGATTTTGCCTAGGTGTTGCAACATTTGCAACCCATGCTAGAAACTTCTAGCCACCCCAATCCAAAAGTCAAAGTTGCCTTCCTAACCACCCATCCAAAGATCTCATTATAGTCATGTCCCTAAAAATCGCCCAAAGTAGATATAACCCCAAAAAGGTAATAAGAAATCCAAGTCTTGGAAATCTTGTAACTTGGGCGATCTTGGTCAGAATAAGGCGATCTTGGTATCGTTGGAAAGCTCTGAATTTCTCCTGCATGATCAAGCATGTAGACTTGGAGAAAACACAGAGATGATAATATCCAACAGCCATGCACAATGACATATGCTCATGCAAACCATGCAAACACAAATAGCACGAACACTCGGCAGGACGTTAGGATGACATGCACTCAGAATGACGTGCATCCAACAAACTCCCCCTCAGACTAACGGACTGCATGCACACACACTCACATTCGTGCAAACTTTCATGCACACAATCACACATGCACTCATGACACTGCTGCCCACACTAGTGCAATGCCATGCCACACATCTTAGCACACTTCCAATGTGTGCTCTCAAGAAGTCTCTTGGTGAGAAAATCTGCCGCCTGCTTGCTAGCCTTCACATGGTGAAGCTCAACAATCCCCTCCTTCACCATCTGCCTCACCCAGTGCCACTTAATCTTCATGTGCTTGTTCAGCCCATTTAGGATAGGATTATTGGCCATGCCAATAGCAGCCTCGCTGTCAGAGAAAAGTGGTGTAGGTCCCTGCTGTTCAGCTCCCATGTCCTCCAGCAGCTTCCTCATGAGCACGATCTCCTTGATGGCGTGGTACATCGCCATGCACTCTGCCTCTCCGGAAGAATGAGCAATCTCACTCTTCTTCTTGGACCTCCGACCATGCACACAAAGCCGCCAACTGATGACTGATCCTCCTCCTCTGAGGCCCATGTGGCGTCGGTGAAGCACGACGGTTTCAAGGTTCCAGGCGTGATCCCATCTGCTCCAAACTGTTTCAGCTGCCCCCCAGCTGGAAATTGAACACCAGCAGATGCCGTTGATCCGAGGTAGCGCACCAAGCGCTTTGCCACCTCCAACTGCTCCTCAGTGGGCCGCTGCACAACTCTGGCTAGCTGCCCCACTCAGAATGAAGCATCAGGTCGTGTATGCACAGTAGCGTACATCACACTTCCAATGAGTGACTGGTGCAGAATGAGTATTCTGGTGCCCATCCTCAAGCACATCATCTTCCTTAGTTGCCTTCTTCAACTTGAAGCCCGCAGGAAACGGCGTCATCACAGTGCGACCTCCAGTCACACCATAGCGCTCCATGACACCAGAGATGTAGTGTGACTGATGCACCTTCAGCCACCTCCTCTCAACATCCCTCTCAATCTGCAGCCCCAAGTAATTGTGGACATCCCTCAGCATCTTGCACTTGAAGTTGTCCACCAGCAGCTTCTGTGCCCTCTCAATCTGCTCCATGGAGGGTGAGAACAGCAGTATGTCGTCGACATACACCAGCAGCAAGAGCAGGTGCTTCCCCTCTCCAAGCAGAAACAAGCTGTGATCCGCTTGGGACGTCTTGAAGCCTCCACTCAGCAGCACCTCCTCCAGCTTCTCGTACCAGCACCTGGGCGCTTGCTTAAGGCCATAGATGGCCTTCTTGAGCTTGCACACCCGGCTGGTCCCATCCTCATAGCCGTCGGGCTGCGCCATGTAGATATCCTCCAGCAGTATTCCATTGAGAAACGCTGTGGTGATATCCATCTGCTTCACGTGCCATCCCTTCACAGCTGCGCCAGCCAGCACAGTCCTCAAAGTCACTGGCTTAACAACGGGAGCGAAGATCTCCTTGAATTCAACCTTCTCTTTCTGCTGAAACCCCTTGGCGACCAAGCGGCTCTTGAACCGCTCCAACGCACCATCAGCTCCACTCTTCACCTTGAAGACCCACTTGCTGCTGATCGGCCGTCGCCCCTCGGGTAACTCAACAAGCTCCCAAGTCCCATTCTCAATGAGACTGTTGAACTCCGCATCCATGGCAGCCTTCCAATCCTCCTTCTGGGGTCCACTCATGTTCGGTGCAAATGCACATTGCACGACATCCTGCCGTCTGTTTGTACGAGTATGCGTGTGCGAATGCATTTGCGTGTGAATGGTGTGTTCGTGTGTTTGTTTGCTTTCGCATTTTTCGCTTGATGCATTTGCAGGTACTCGCGCAATGTGCGCTTCGGCACAACATTGTACGCGCTATGAACAGTGCAAGCAGAAAGGACGAGCTCGCAAAGGAACCCAAGATGGAAGCTTTGCAGTTCGGTTGAGTTGATTGCGCAGATTCAGTTCTATCCAACTCGAAATTGTACTGTTTTGTTTGGTTAACTATAGTGTAGCAGGGAAGGCACTATAGGGGTACAATTTAGGTGAAGGTTGGATGTTGTTTGTCTGTATCTGCATGCTACAAGGCCAGGGGAAACCAGCGGAACCAGCATTTGGCTGGTTGGGCAAAGACAAAACAGGTTCTGTTTTTAGAACCTGAACCTGGTTGTTGTTTTCCCAGGTTGAAAAAACAGAACCAGAGGTTGTTTACCAACCTACCACCTGCTATTTTGTCCAGCCAAGTTGGTTCTGTTGCTTGGAATTATTTGGGATCATCCCTGGTTGTTCCCAGGTTGATTCCCAAGGTCCTTGCTAGCTAGAACTATTTAATCCTTCTCTGTTTGTACCTGAATATAGTCAAATTGATTCAAGCGAATTCCTTCCTCGCTGGAATTTCGTTTCTGCGCTATTCGACGGCGGAATGCTACCCGAGTCAACGCTAGTATGCTAGCACTCCAACGCTAGGCAAACGCTGTCCGAGCCATAACTTAGTAATGGCAGAACTTTTCGCGAGGCAACTTGGCTCATTTTAAAGCTCTTGGAGCGAGCTTCGATATAGCGAATTCTCAGCTTAATCCGACCGACGGTCTGCACGGCACGCTGCGCGACGTTCAAGGTACTCTTGCTGTTTTGACTAAGTCCTTCTTGATCCCTCTCTCTACAAACTCGGACCCGAGGATAGGGGCTGGTCTTGTACCAGGCACCCAGGGACCCTTGGAGGTGACCCCGAGGAGAGGTTTTAAGTTTGATTAAGTCCTAATAGCTTGAGTTTATTAGGCCCTTACACCAACAAGCTGGTATCAGAGCTACGTTATAGTGATCCTCGTTATAGGTAGCTATGGCGGGCAACACCTCGGCGGGAGCTGGTGAATCTTCAGCCCAAGATCGTAGCGGCAGCCAAGATTCTGGTCTTTCAGCGCCAAGGGGAGCGCGAACAAACCAGGGCTCGCTTGTCAAGGAGGTGCTGAAGAATTTCACCGTCGAGAAGTTCAATGGTGAGGGCTATGATGATTGGGCCTGGAAAATGCAATTATATTTCCGTCAGATCGGTTTGCTGAAACTAATGATTGGGGAGGAGCCTAGACCGAGTGACCCCACGCTGCAGGAAGATTGGGACGAGCGCTCCTCGGCTGGCTACTATTTGATGTCGCAGAGTTTGGAGCTGAACCAGCGTCACCACGTCATGCACCTGCTGCCGGAGGTTGAATGCGGTCCGAAGGCGTGGACCGTGTTGAAGGAGCTGCACGCCCCGACCTCCGTTGTCGCAACGTTGATGCTGGAGAGGGAGCTGTCCGCGTTGCGCCTGAGCGAGGGAGAGCCGGTGCAACCAGTCCTGGACAAGATGCGCGACCTCTACGCGAAGTTGGCGACCGCGGGAATCACCTACCCGGAGCAGACCAAGTGCTTGAAGATGCTCTCGCTGCTGCCAGAATCGTGGCTTCAATTTACGAGCGGATTGAGCCTGCCGCAGAACCAGAGCTTGTGGACGCTCGAGTGGGTGCGGACGAAGATTCTGGAGGAGGACTTCCGTCGCCGCCAACTGAGGGGTGGAGACGACGGCAGCAGCGGCTACGGGATGCAAGGGAGCCGACGTGGCAGAGGACGTGGCTTCGGTGGTGCTGGACGCGGTGCAAAGAAAGACGACGACTCCAACGACCAACAAGGAGGTACCGGTTGGGGTCGCGGTGCGAAATCTGGACGTGGGGGCAAGTCGGGTGCTGGTGGCAAAATGAAAGGGAGTTGCTGGTATTGTGAGAAGGAAGGGCACCCCTGGTTTTTGTGCTATAAGAAACCCGATGGATGGACCCCCCAGAATCGTCACCAGGATGGCGGCGCGCGGAGGAACCAGAAAAACGGCGCCAACATGGTCGCTGATTCGTCCGACAACAACCCGAAGGGCAACGGCGGTACGGAGAAGAAGAAGGAGCGCACCGCGGGCCAATTCTTCCATGTGGGAGACAAGGGGGAGCAAGGAGACGCCTCTGCCAAAGTTGGAGCAGAGCTGCACCCCCTAGACTATTGGGTGTTGGACACAGGCGCTGCTTGGACGATGACGCCGCGCAAGGACCTGCTGGACGAAATACGAGCTGCACCGATCAATGAAGTGTGCTCCGCCTCTGGACACATGTTGAAGGTGGCTGGTGCGGGACGAGCTGCGTTTAAGGGAGCGGATGGCAAGCCGGTGGTGCTGCACGACGTTCTCTTCGTCCCCGACCTGAAGGCCAACCTTATCTCCCTCCGTAAGCTTGGCAAGGCTGGGGTGAACACCAACACGGATGGGGCACGCACTTATAAGGGGAAGCTGGGCAATCGGGTGCTTTGGGATCTGCACGAGAGCAAGGACGTGTACAGATCTATGTGGCAGCTGCCGGCCCTGGCGTGGCATGGTGGGGGGCAGGCTGGAGAGGGGTCTGCATCCCAGGGGGAGTGCAATGCCGTTGGAGGGGTTGGTGTGAAAGTGTCGGCCAGATCTGGGGAGACAGATTGGGCAACGGCACACCGGCGCTTAGGGCATGTGGCAATGCCTTTGCTGAAGCAGCTGGAGAAGGATGGAGCCGTTAAGGGTCTGAAGCTGAACGGACAGCCACCCGATGACAACTGTGAAATCTGTTTGCTTTCAAAGTTCACCCGTTTCCCTTTCCATAGTGTGGCTGGCAGGAGCAAGAAGCCTTTGGAGCTGGTCCACATGGACTTGGTGGGGCCGCTGCCGGTGCAAGGGCACAAGGGGGAGCGGTATTTTCTTACAATTGTGGATGACTGGAGCAGGCTGATGTGGGCGTATCCGCTGAAGCAGAAGGACCACGCCGCCTCCACGATACTGGACGAGTGCGTAGTGGTGTACCTGGACGATATCCTCATCTACTCCAAGAACATGAAGGAGCACGTGGAGCATCTACGGAAGGTGTTCGAGTTCCTACGGAAAAACAAGTTCTACGTGAAGCTGTCAAAGAGTGACGTCGCCCTGAAGAATGTGCAGCTTTTCGAGCACATAGTGAGTGCGGAGGGCGTACACGTGGACCCGCGGAAAATCGAAGCCGTTAAGAAGTGGAAAGTACCGGAGAACGTGAAGGAGTTGCAGCAGTTCCTAGGCTTCGCCAACTACTACAACAGGTTCGTGCCGCAGTACGCTAAGATAGCAGCGCCACTGACCGACCTACTGAAAAAGGATACGCCCTTCAAATGGGATACTCCTCATCAGCAAGCCATGGAGCAGCTACAGACAGCACTGACCACAGCACCAGTACTCATCCTACCGGACCCAGACAAGGACTACGTGGTGGAAGCAGACGCTAGTGACCAGGCAGTCGGAGCAGTATTGATGCAGGATCACGGACGCGGTTTACAGCCTATCGCCTACCTTAGTAAGAAGCTACACGGAGTAGAACTATACTATCTGATTCACGACAAGGAAGCATCAGCCATCGTAGCCTTCAAGACTGTGTTTTCACTGACCACTGCAGTGTCAAATATCTGAAGTCGCGTCCGACGCTCTTTCGACGACAGGTGCGTTGGGTGGACTTATTGGAGACCCCCTTCGACTACGACATTGTTTACAAACCTGGGCTACACAACAAAGCTGACGCGTTGAGCCGCCCCGGCCATGTAGCAGGCATCTAGCTCGAAGGGATGACCCCTCTTCTTAAGGGTCTATTCCAACATGGGTACTCCGTGGACGCAGAGATCGCAACGGCAGAGAAACAGAAGCTGTTACAGTGGGAGAAAGACTTAGCAGTAAGGAAGGGTTCAGAAAAGATTTGGGTACTGAACTACGCCCTGCTACGAGATCCTACTAGAGGAGTTTCACGACGTACCATACGCGGGACATTTCGGGAGCAACAAGACGTTAGCGGGAATAGCGAAGTATTACTACTAGCCCCGGATGGCAGCAGACGTACAGCAGCTCGTTACCTCATGCAACACGTGCCAGCGGATGAAGAGTAGCAAGCAGAAGAAAGCAGGGTTACTTCAGCCTCTACCCGTACCGGAGCAGCCATGGCAGGTCGTTAGCCTCGACTTCATCACAGGACTTCCTTCGACCTCACGAGGATATGATTCCATCTTCGTCGTGGTCGATAAGTTCTCCAAATTGGGTCACTTCATTGCGACCAACGCCACAGCTACTGTTAAAGCAACTGCTTGTCTCTTCTTCGATTGCATCATCACTATCAACGGCATCCCCGCTACATTCATCTCACACAGAGATCCCAAATTCACGAGTAAGTTCTGGAAGGAGCTCATGGGACTGTTGGGGACTAAGCTTGCGATGTCTTCAGCATACCACCCCCAGACTGACGGACAGACAGAGCGACTCAACCAGGTGGTTGAACAGTTACTGCGCATAGCTTGCAAAGACGACATCAGCCACTGGGACATACACTTTCCAACCGTAGAGCTCGCTTACAACACGCTTCGCATGCAGCCACAAGAAAAACTCCTTTCTTCCAGTGTTATGGACGGAAACCACTCACACCATAGCAGCCAAATACACAAGCACATGTCCAAGCCGCACACGACTTCGTCACCACCATGCAGCAGCTATGGGAGAAGACTCAGCGGCGTCTCACCACGATGCAGAACTCCCAGAAGCAGTATGCCGATCGTCAGCGACGGGATCACTCAGTAGCAGTCGGAGATCAGGTGCTTCTTGACACGCGCAACTTGAACCTGACTCACCTACCATTTAAACTCCGGCCTTGCTTCTGTGGTCCTTTTCTCGTTGAGGCACAGATGACACCAGTTACATTCCGTCTGCGCTTACCAGATACGTGGAAGCTTCACAATGCCTTCCATGTCCAGCTTCAAACCCTACAAGGACCCCAACCAACAGTTCCAGGGACGACAGCTACCGCCACCACCACATGTCATCGTGCAGGATGAACAAGAGGACGAGATCAAGCGCGTTCTCACAAAACGGCGCCGCGGCGGCAAGACCCTCGAGTTCCTGATACGCTGGAAGGGATACGACCCCTTCGAGGACAGTTGGGTTGCAGAAGCTGATATGGGCAATGCACGCCGTGCTCTCAATGACTATCTTGTCAAGCAGGGTGTATCTCACGCCACCCAGCTTTGAGGGGGGGATGTGTGAGAGTACGACGGCTTATGCCAGCTATGCTTGCTTGCCTTGTCGTTATTCTGCTATTTCTAGCATAGGTTTATTTTATGCATGCATGAATTGCTTGATTTCCTAGGCTAGGTGCTTTCCTATATTTTATTATAGTTATAGCACCGAACTAGGTTGCGTACACCGAATTCTGGGCTATTCGGTTGCCACTGAATTGCCATCTACCGAATTTGGAAAGGGTCTGTTCGGGACGCTTTGCGACCCCTCAACACCTGGTTACTAGGCCTTGTGTCGAGCCTATATATAAGCTCGTGTTGTACCCAGGTGATTCATTCAATTCAAACTCTCTTTTCTGAGCTCGATCCTAGATCCTCACACGGGGGCACATGTGGAAAAATGGACTTGGTGGAGAATGTGGACATGGAAGGGGACGTGATAGAACAAGTGCAAGCGGAATATCGGGAGGTAACGGCAATCCTAGGACCAGGAGTCGTGGCAGATGCGATGCAGGCAGGAAGCAGGACACACCGCGTGCGGCGGTACTGGACGAACGTAGTGAGTGACTCGACGCTGAAGTACAGGCTATCCCGGATGGAGCGACCGGTTCCGCTGCTGGTAGAGGACAAATTGGAAGTGGGGAGGATGCCCGCACCCGTCACGCAGCCCGACCATCCCATGCAGTTCCCATGTAATAAGATGGGAAAGCCAAAGCCTGGCTGACGTTCGTCTCGTTTGAAGAAGCAGCAGAATTCAAGATGCAGGACGAAACCCTAGGCCCAGGCATGGTGTACGTGTTGTGCCAACACACTATAGTGGCACGGTCATCGCACTCCCATTCAGCCTACAAGCCTGCTCAGCTTCTGGAATTTTTAGGGGAAATTCCTCAACATGTCTTCATCAAACTCTAAACGTTCCAGAATTTTTTAAGCAGTTACCAAGGCATGACAAGGTTTAAGTTTCAAGACTTATGGCATCCTTGAAGTGTGCGTTACTCTTTTTTTGTAACACCCAAGTTCACTATTTCGGCTACTGACTTGTCTACTGAGCTCTGATTGGTCCGAAACTCGGTCTGGTTGTCACAAAATTTCAGAACGATCCAACATCGGAGCAGCACGTGATAGCTGTCGAAATTCACTGTTCCGTAGTCATGGTACACTGTTGGCAGTATTTCTTTCCCTTGCCACCCTTTCATTGTTGTCATGCCAATGGTGCAGGGACAAAAAGTGAGACAAAAAGTACACGTAGTCAAGTGGGACTCTACCACCCTCTTTTTGAGAAGTGTGGCCTTCTTGGAAGCAGCTTGCAAGAGGGTGCAATTGGGAAGACAAGCTGATCCATGGTTGGCTTGACTCACAATTGGTAGCCTTGAGTACAACGCTGAACATTCGAGTGTGGTTGGCTCTGCTGACCTAGCTAGGATCTTCTCTGGCCTTTCTCCTCCAGGACTCAACCTTCTCTGAGTTCCCAAGATGACCTTGTTGGTGTAAGGGCCTAATAAACTCAAGCTATTAAGACTTAATCAAACTTAAAACCTCTCCTCGGGGTCACCTCCAAGGGTCCCTGGGTGCCTGGTACAAGACCAGCCCCTATCCTCGGGTCCGAGTTTGTAGAGAGAGGGATCAAGAAGGACTTAGTCAAAACAGCAAGAGTACCTTGAACGTCGTGCAGCGTGCCGTGCAGACCGTCGATCGGATTAAGCTGAGAATTCGCTATATCGAAGCTCGCTCCAAGAGCTTTAAAATGAGCCAAGTTGCCTCGCGAAAAGTTCTGCCATTACTAAGTTATGGCTCGGATAGCGTTTGCCTAGCGTTGGAGTGCTAGCATACTAGCGTTGACTCGGGTAGCATTCCGCCGTCGAATAGCGCAGAAACGAAATTCCAGCGAGGAAGGAATTCGCTTGAATCAATTTGACTATATTCAGGTACAAACAGAGAAGGAATAAATAGTTCTAGCTAGCAAGGACCTTGGGAATCAACCTGGGAACAACCAGGGATGATCCCAAATAATTCCAAGCAACAGAACCAACCTGGCTGGACAAAATAGCAGGTGGTAGGTTGGTAAACAACCTCTGGTTCTGTTTTTCCAACCTGGGAAAACAACAACCAGGTTCAGGTTCTAAAAACAGAACCTGTTTTGTCTTTGCCCAACCAGCCAAATGCTGGTTCCGCTGGTTTCCCCTGGCCTTGTAGCATGCAGATACAGACAAACAACATCCAACCTTCACCTAAATTGTACCCCTATAGTGCCTTCCCTGCTACGCTATAGTTAACCAAACAAAACAGTACAATTTCGAGTTGGATAGAACTGAATCTGCGCAATCAACTCAACCGAACTGCAAAGCTTCCATCTTGGGTTCCTTTGCGAGCTCGTCCTTTCTGCTTGCACTGTTCATAGCGCGTACAATGTTGTGCCGAAGCGCACATTGCGCGAGTACCTGCAAATGCATCAAGCGAAAAATGCGAAAGCAAACAAACACACGAACACACCATTCACACGCAAATGCATTCGCACACGCATACTCGTACAAACAGACGGCAGGATGTCGTGCAATGTAAATTTGCACCCAACACACTCCCCCTCAGCCTGCCGGCTGCATCCCCGTCATTCCATGCTAGTTCATGCTCATTCCACTCATGCGCACACAACGCCAATGAGGCTCATCCGCAAGCCTCTTGGTGAGAAAGTCTGCTGGCTGCTGGTGAGTCTTGATGTAGATCGGATGCACCGTCCCCCTCTTCACCTCCTTACGCAGCCAGTGCCACTTGATACGCATGTGCTTGTTCAGCCCATGAAGCACAGCGTTTCTGGCCATCCCAAGAGCCCCCTTGCTATCACAAAACAGCGGCGTAGCAACTTTCTGCTCCTGGCCAATCTCCTCTAACAGCCTCCTCAGCCAAATCACCTCCTTCACCCCATGGAACATCGCCATGTACTCTGATTCTACGGAAGAGAGTGCCGTCTCCGTCTGCTTCTTGGACCTCCAACTAACAGGTCCTCCCCCAACTACGCAGATGTATCCTCCCACAGATGAAGAATCCTCCTTCTCAGAAGCCCATGTAGCATCGGTAAAGCAAGTGAGAAATAGCTTGCCTTCTCCAAGCCTCTCCCCCTTCTCTTTCAGCACCTCCACCCCTTTCTGCTTCACCTGTGCAGATGCGGAGTATTGAACTCCAATGCTTGGGTGAGAGTTCAGGTACTTCACCACACGCTCAGCTGCATCCACCTGCTCCTCTGATGGATTCTGCACCACCCTAGCCAGCTGCCCAACCGAGAAAGAGATGTCGGGCCTCGTGTGAACTGCTGCGTACAAGAGGCTGCCCACCAAGGACTGAAATTGCTGCTGCTCTTCAGCTTCAACCCCTTCATCCTCTGCAGCCTTCACAAGCTTGAATTCTGCTGGCAGGGGAGTTGCA